TTCACTATTCACATGGTGAGGAAATGGCCTTGATATTCATCAACTGATGAAAGAGTGGGACATTGAGAAAATGGAATTCTATAGCCCTAAAAATAATAAAATTAAATTAAATTACAGATGAATGTTGGAGCTAGAAACAATCACTCTGAGTGAGGTAACCCAGACCCTGTAGGATATACACCAAATATAGTTTCTCATGTGTGCATCTTAGCTTTGAACGTTTAGAGATGTGCGTTCAAATGGGAGTACCTGTGGAAGGTTGGGAACTATGGAAGGGGCATGGAGTGTGTGGGGTGAGGTTTCATGGGAGGAGGGATGGGGGACAAAGGTGTTATCAAGGGCAAAAGGGAAAAAATGAAGCATTCGGTGGGGTGGGAGACAGGAGGACAGAGGACAGGAGAGAGTATAGGAAGGGGTAAGTAAGCGACTGTGACCAGTAATAGTCATATATATAGAGAGATTAGAAATGCATGTGAAAACGTCTCAATGTCAATTGCCTTAAAATGAATTTTTCTGTATGAAACTGTGTGTTTTGACAACGAAGTGGAGATCTTTTTTAAACGTTAAAAACTTTAAAAGAAGTTGCCTACATATTGGTTTTTTTGTGGCTGTTATATTTATTTTGACTTACAGTTCCAGAAGGATGGAGTATCCATAAAGGCCAGGAAGGCATGGTGACAGGACCACAATGTTTAAAGGTCACATTTTGATGCACACAGGAAGCAGATAGTTTGAGGAGGAAGGGGGTGGGGCTGCAAACACTCAAAATCTGCCCCCAGTGATGCACTTTTTCTGCCAAGACTTGTGCCTTCTAAAGCTTCTATAATCTCCCAAATCAGAGTGGCCATCTGTGGTCCTTGTGTTCCAATACGTGAGAGTATGGGGATGTTTTTCAATTGACCAACCACACCATATTACCCTATGTGGGGAATTAGTGCCTCTCCCAGATGCCACTGGCTAAGAAATAACAAGCCCAGTATCAGGGATTGAATACCTCCCACTAAGTCATTGGTGAGTGATGTCCTACAGACCATCTCAACAAACATAGGTTGTTGCTGTTGCTCTTGGTTGTCTTTCAGAACTTGATGGTAAGACCCTATTTCTGAAGACACCTCATACTTGTGCCTTAGGACACTGAGAAATCAAGCTTGTACTAACTGGGAAGCTTCGCCTATAATGGCTAGCTTTCGTAGTATCAGAAGATGCTATGTACACTTTTGTTTGAGAAAAGCAATCAATAGCCTTACTGAACTATGAATCCTGCAAGCTACAATAATAACCAGCCCAGCAAGGTATGGCCAACTGCACAGTGCTTGTACAGATTTGATGGGAGTAACCAACTGCTTCTGCTTGAAATTCAGTCCCACTACTCCAAATTGAACTCATGCCTAATTCTGTTAACTGGACCAACAACTCTGGATGGGTATGTCATATCCTCTAATAGAGAACCTACTATTAGTTTGCCAAATAGACATCTTATTAATCTTTATCTTCTTTATACCATAGATTCATGCAGAATCTCTCAGAAAATTTATTTTTGACGTACATGTTTATTTGTAGAGACTCATAAGTGGTCATAGTGAGGAGAATAAGAGACTGTGGAATGCTCAGCTTTCAATGAGATGTCTATCATACCCATACCTAAGGCTCAAACATTGCTGTAGAAGCAGGGGTTGTGGGGAGAAATATTGTAAGACGCAGAGGCAGTGAAGGACTGGTGTGAAATAGCAGTTTCCCAGCGTTGCAGAGCCTTTGACACATAAACTCACGGTGGCTTTGAATGCACACACAAGAGCTGGGCAACATCAAGTGAGCCAGAATCCAGCATGGGTCAAGGAGGGACTAACAAAATTCCATGCCTACCTGAGCAGTTATTGCAATTGATGGCTTCTTGGGGCATTATAGTTACTTTTCTTCATGGATGAAGCCAGTGATAGGTTGACCATCTGTCAATTCGTAGCCCTATAAGCATGTATTGTGGGAATGACATTTTTGGGTCCAAGGTAATCACGTGCTTTGAGATCATTTAGTACTATGTGCTCAATCTGTCTTCCTACTGTACATTAAGCTTGTTTATATTTAACCATCCATTAAGTAAAGCAATCCCCCACGTAATTAATTCTTACAAACTGGTCTGAATGCATAGCTTTAATCTCATATCATGTTTCCCATTGTGACTCTGTTATGCACCTGACTCAGAACAATTACATGTCCAAGAGATGTGGCAATTAGACCAAAGATCAGTGAATGACCATAACCCACACCAACGTTATAAGTAACACATGGGCATGTTTGCAGGTGTGTATGCTGTTCTGGGTCCAAAGGGTCAGAAAAATAACTCTTTCCCCTATCAACTCTGGTTAAAGAGTCTTTGCCATACCCTGACTGATATGATTTTCAATAAAATAAGAGCAGGCCCTTTGATCAGGAGGGCAGAACAGTTCTGAGATAAATCAGAACTTCTCAGAACAGATTGGGCTCCCTCTGGGTTACATGACTTCTTTTATGCCTAACCTCCACGATGTGTTTACCGCAGCAAAAAATGGACTCAATGTGTTTAAAAAAGAATACATGAAGTCGGGAAGGAAAAGTGATGTGATTTGGGAGGAACCTGATGGGAGAAACTAGAGGTGTATTTAACCAAAACATTATACGCATATCTGAAAACCTCAAAAAATAGTAATAACAAAGCAGGTGCTCGACATGTTATGTTTCCATTCTTGTCTAATGGTCTTCCAGCAAACATTTAAAAGACTATGTCAAAGTCAATGGACCATAGTAATAACATTCTAGAAAGCTCACTTCTCACACAGTTATATTTTGCTCTAGTCACTTTGTTCTTGGCTTTGCATCAGCCATGCAGTTTGCCACAGCACAGAGGCAAACACACTAACTCACGTCGTTCCTTCAGTAACCCCGTCCTTTGGGGCACATCTTCTCCCTCTCATCCGTGGTGTCTTCCTGAATTCTAACCTGCTTCGTTTACCCTTTCATAGATGGATTTGGTTTTCCACACCTGTAAGAAAGTAGATTTTGTCTTGACCTAATGAACATTTGTAGAGAATGAGCCAAAATATGCAATGCTTATGGCAAATCTTCTAAATCAGTGTGAACAGACATCGGGATTCAGCACATAAATAATTAAAAACCATTTGAAAACTATTATTAAAATAATAAAATTTTCTGCTGATCATTTCAGTAGTTTCTGCCAAATATCAATGCTGACTAATCACTTTTGAAAGAGATGTATCTTTGCTCTGGAAATTGTTATTGAGTATATTAAAGCTGAAATGAAATGCTTCTTCTAAAAAATAAAAAAAATACATATAAAAACAAAAAACAAATATCAATGCTGAGTCACTTTTGCACTGAGCTCTCTATGAGACACTATTATTGTCAATGAGGTATTTGAATTCCTCATCATGAAGCCCTTTCCGTGGGCAAAGGGGTGGGTAATTTGCTCAGTTACATGCATGGGAACCTACATGCTCAGCCCAGTTGGGGTCAATGGGAACAGGCCTTCCTCACCAGCTTCTTCAGAATGCTTCCTGTTTCTCACTGCCTTTAGAGTGTCCCGGGGCCATTGCCTTATGGTGGGCTAGACATGTCTGATGAAATGCTCAAGGATGGGGTGAACATTTCCATCCCTAACATCTCTCTTTCTTCCAGACACATGAATTCACTTCATGAGCCCCAGCGGAAATACTCCCTTACATGTTTCCTTTCGCTGGAGAAAACTGTGCTTTATAACATCTGGAGCAGGATGCCGCCCAGCAGAGGGAATGCTTCTGAGTTTTCAATTTCATGTTCTATTTCTAACTCCATCCAGTGTTGCTCAGTGATCCAAATTTGTTTTGTGTTTTCATGGATTTTCTTTCACTGGTCTGATATTCACCAAACCACCAGAATTCCTCACATTAGCAGGACACCACAACTGATGCTTCTTCCTCCAATTGGTAAACTCATCACTCTCAGATGCTTCCTATGAGTTGTTCAACAGTGAGTCCCCAGTACCACCTATGTTAAACTGACTATTGACAGTGTATAGGATGTAAACAATACTAAATTTAAGATACTATGGAATTAATAATATGTCATATATTGTGGTTGCAAGATATGGAGAAACCTCACTGGGATCCTGTTGGAAGAGTCCATATGTTACCTGACTTTCAGAATGTCGGATGACATTTTTCTGGATATTGCTCTGTAGTTTTGCTAAGGAACTTGCTCAGCCCAAGATGGGGAAATTACCAAGCCAAGCTAGATGTAAAGAGTCTACCAATAGTGGTATTGCAGGTGCAGCCAGATAGGTTGGCTTATATTTAAGTCAAGCTACATGGATAAAACCTTTATTTATATATGGAAAATCTGTGATTGGGGATGTTCTAGGCTCAAACAGGAAAGTATATGATGTTATTTAGTTATGTGAATGTGGTTTACCTACAAAAAGCCTTCTAAAGGTATCTATCTGTACCCTATATTATGGCTTTTATGTGCCTACTCTGTACAAGCAAACACTTTACATTATTCCATAGATATTGGTTAAAACTCACCAAAGTTCAACTGTTCATATGTGTGACTGTTTCTGTGTCCATGTCCCAAGGCCCAGAAAACAATGAAATAATTATGCCCCTATACAAGAGTCAGTGAGCATTTCATAAGAGGTGCCTGAAAATGCTTAAGAAACTGAAGAGAAGAATGAGTGTCTGGGACACAACTAAGTTCCTAGGGCATACAATTATCACCTGTCCTCACAGAGCCAAGAGGGCTGAGGTATTTATACCTGAACTTGAACAGGCAAAGCCAAGAATAAGCAAACAGTGAAGAAATGACTATTTTAGTCACCCTGATAATGAAGCTGTGTTAACCTTCCCTGAGGGAAACAAATCATGGGACCCTCACCTAGATTCCAGAAATTACTTCCTCCTGCAACTCAGCAATGTGTGGCCTTGGGGACCAAATGTTGGAGTATATAGGAAGTGGAAAGTTAACTGAAATCAGGACTGCAGTGAAACACCTTTCCTGAGTCAGCAGCCCCCTGTGGTGGGACTCCTCAGAGATGCAGCTGTCTTTGACTCAGCCTCTCTCCCGTAAGTACCTCTGCTCAGAAACTCCTCTAAGCCTGAACACTGTACTATTTTACGAAGCTAGTTTGGACAGTTTACTTTTTGGTATCATTTTTGCCCCATCTGGAGTAAATGAACATTTGTTGATGCCCATGTGGGGCATGGGAAGGTTCATATCAAACAGTCTAAAGTGAAGATATTAATACACTTACCTGACATGAGGTCAGAAGAGTCTATGTACTGAATTTTTAAATATTTATTGAATCAATAAAGTCAAATTGCAATGTGTAGATCTCCTCTGTAAGTTACTTGACCTGAATAAAGTTAAGTAATCATAAAGCCCATTCTGGTGAAATTGTAAACAGATCTAGCACATGTGGGTCTGTTCATCTTTGATTATTCCATTCAGACAGAGTAACATGTCTGAAAAGGACATTCTATTATTTTACATCTGCTCTTGATAATGTTTCCAACTAAAATTAATTGGCAACAAGCACAATAAAGAATTCATAAAGTAAAAAGTCAAAATCATTAGTCTCCTGGTACTACACTTAGACTTTAAATTCTACAGATGATAAATAGAAATTATGTATACTTTTTAAATGCATGTATGTATCTACCATGCATAAAATAATTTTAGAAAAGCTGTATGATCCTTGAAAATTCTATAGTAAGAGGCACCTGAAAATAACTATTTTTATTTTGCATGTAAATTGTTGATGGTTATCTTGTATAATACTCAGTAGTTTATAGTTATTGTGCTACATATTTCACATTTCATTTACCTAGAATCTGTGGAACAGGTTTTCAGACTAGTGTCACTAAATGTAAATGTACTTTTATGTTGTACATAAATCCTGGTTCATGTTCTAAAGACTATTAATAATTTATATATTACAACAGTTCTGTGTTCAACATTGAAAAGCAAATTTATTAGGAAACCAACATGGATCGTAAAAAAAATTTAATTTAAGGCAGTTATTTTACAGAGGGAAAAAGTAAATAGAATCAAGATTAGTAGAGTTTCCTTGATCAATTGATAAGTGATCAAAGGGAAAAATCATCTAACTTTGTAATTGTAATCTGTCATCAATATAGTTTGATAATATTGCATAGGCTCACTCTACCGATAGGGATATTCTAAAACTAAGGTATGCATAGAAAACAATCAGAAGATCTTGGTAAAGTGACAGATGCACGAAATTATTGTACGCTGGTAAATCTAGCCTACAGAGCTTCTGATGACGGGATTATTTTCACTCTCAGTATTATGCAACAGGCAACTCTGAGCTTATTCTTATGAGATCAGAAGATTAAACACCCGGGAAGTATGCTGCTCTTGTCACAGTGCATATTTCCCACTGAGCAAAATAATGTGGAAATATAGGAAACGGCGACCACTGAAAGTCACCATAAATTCCCAAGGTAGTACTCCGTCTTCAGAGAATGAGTTCAGAGCATTAATTCACAATTTTACTTTAAGATCCAAATTTCCCAAAATTTCAGTCGTTTTTGGTAGACATACGAACATGAGGAAGCTCATCAGTTCTCAAACTATGAAAACCTATTTATGCAGTTACGTTCTACTGGGGAGATGTTCATTCACTAGCTTCGCAGTACAATACCAAGCCTACAGTGCGGGCACTGGGGAGAGATAAAGTCGCTCTTGATGATAGTAGGAAGATAAAATTCCTGTTGATAACCTCAGATCAATAGATCTCAGAGCATCCTGTTCCTACACATCAGGGATGTTCCTGCTGTTCTTGCTGCCAAACCTTCTCCTGTGGGAGAACGTGTCCTCCGCACCCAAGCATGACCGCAGAGCTGGCCTTGAAACACTTTCCCTCAGGGAATTATTGGATCATGCTGTGATGCTCTCTCAAAGCCTCAGTGACCTCAATATGGAGCTGTACATGTTATTTGTAAGTACCTCAGCTCTGACTTCGCCCTAAAGGGAACCAATGAATGTTCTGAGCTATATTTAAAGTTATTATGAACCCAATTTCTAATAGTGTGCCTGTCATGCATGTTAGAAAAGCAATAGTCTAGTGAAAAGTGGATCATGGAAAATGGGACAGTTTCATGAAATCTCCGAGATTTCACAGAACTCAATGATTTTTAAAAATTGTCTCTACTTGACTACTGAAGAATTTTCTTCAATTTTACATGTGTAGCATGAAAACCTAACGGATGTAACTGGGGGACACCTCCTAGTTCCTCCTCTGACAGATGTAACTGGGGACACCTCCCAGTTCCTCCTCTGAGTTGTCTACCTTGCAATGCGCCTTCCTCCCCTGGCACCTTATCTTAGCATCTGCAGGCGACCAGTACAGAGAAGAGTACTGTACTGAGTGCCTTTGATTGCAAAGAAGAAATATAAATCGAGATGATTCAAGCCAGGAAAACCAAAATTCTTACCTTCTGAGGAACTCCTAAATGATAAAAATCCCTGCTTATAGCTATCCAGTGCAGAGATTAGTAGAAAGGAGACCAGGTTGTAGCGAAACAGGTCCTCCCTTCCTTTGGTTCAAGTTACAGCTTTAAAGGTCAATGTTAAGGACCAAAGAGACAAGCCTTTCTTAGTACAACGGCTGCCGAGAGAAAGTGCCTCTCAGGTTAGAATACGTATGTGTTCATGTTTTCTTTTACTGACAAGTTGTTTTCTTCTTATCCCTCATCCTGTCTCAGCTCAGGAGTGACTTTTCTTCAAAAATGTTCAGTACATTTGTAAGTACCACATTACCTTCATCTTCTTCCTCCCGAAAACCTTCACGCTAATGGCTGCATACCATGTCCGCATTAAACACCAAATTTCAAATAATGTGCCCCCACAGGTAAAAGAAAGCCCAAGCTTATAAACACGTGGAGTCAGAATGGGGCTGCTCCAGGAAATCTCTCTCTCTCTCTCTCTCTCTCTCTCTCTCTCTCTCTCTCTCTCTCTCTCTCCCTCTCTCTCCCTCTCTGTCTCTCTCTCTCTCTCTCTTTCCTTTCTGGCACAAGATGTAAGCACTTACCCTAACATAGCTACGTGTGACAGTGGTGGACTGACACACATAATCGCTCTCTCTCTCTCTCTCTCTCTCTCTCTCTCTCTCTCTCTCTCTCTCTCCCTCTCTCTCCCTCTCTGTCTCTCTCTCTCTCTCTCCCTCTCTCTCCCTCTCTGTCTCTCTCTCCCTCTCTCCCTCTCTGTCTCTCTCTCTCCCTCTCTGTCTCTCTCCCTCTCTGTTCCTCTCTCTCTCTTTCTCTCTCTTTCTCTCTCTCCCCCTCTCTGTCTCTCCCTCTCTGTCTCTCTCTCTCCCTCTCTGTCCCTCTCTCTCTCTCTCCCTCTGTCTCTCTGTCTCTCTCTCACACATACATACATATAACTTGTTTTTTAATATTTATCCTTGCAATGTGATGTGAAGCTGTAAATATCGGGTGGGAGAACTCTGAACTCCTGTGTTCACAGGTAGGGAGGCAGACTGTGGTGGTGTTCTCCACTTAATGCTCTACTGATACCCCATAAAGTACAAATGCTCTATAGTGAATTGTGGGATGGGAATAGAACTAAACCAGACTGAAACCTTGTCAAAAGGTGATGGAAACTGCTGTCTTTCCAGGAACTGTAAAATGCTGGGCATTGTTCTTTTAAAATTTTTAGTGCCAGAGTGTATTCGGTATGAGGGCCATTTCGAAGTGAAAGTAGGTTCTGTCTAGCTGAGGGTCGTGTGCCACCTGTTGAAGGTGAATCAAGGTGCAGATAAGCCTTCAGTACAAACATGGGCAACACTGGAACCTACCTCTGCCTTTGTGAAATGTTGGATTCATGTTGTCTTTTCTTAAAGCCTAGTTCTAGTTTCCACGCAGTGCTCAATGTAAAAATTACACATCTATTAACTGCATTAATATTCTGAGTACGGGTTCATTTACTCAATTCCCAAACTTCACGCAACTCAATTTCTATTTTAATATTTGCAGGTGTTACAGAATATCAAGGATAAGGTCTTCATGGCTAAGGTTCTCAATAGCTGCCAAAATTTTTCTCAGAACACTCCGGCGACCATGGAGGAAGCAGCAAATCTCGCAGTAAGTCGTCAGCTATGGTTTTCACTAGAACAACTGAAGCAGGGCACTGGCTCTGCTGTGCTCTAGGCTGTTCAAGCATTACACTGGGTGTGGCAATCACACCTGTACAAAATGGAGGAAGAGGGATCAAAGCAAGATGAAGTTAGACGGTTGACAATGTAGAAGTGTTAATCAGAATATACCACAGTCAAAAATTGTGTGTTTAGAGTGTTGCGTTTTATCAGTGATTTGCCAATGGAAATTTTTACTGATTATTCTGTTGGATACTTTGAACTGAATTGAACATCCGTCTTATCACATGTATTTATATTTATGCCTAAGAAATGCAAGCACACCCGCATTCATTCTGTGTCACTGATGGCCCGCAGTGGCAACATTTTGGAACATCATGCTTGCTGACTTTGAGGCTCCCTTGACTCTCATCCCTTCTTACCTGTGTTCATCCCTCCTTGGCTTCGTTTCCTTCTCACTTCCTGGGAGCATCAGCACAGGCAGATCCTCGAAACCCCATGTGATAATCATCAGAACGAAACCAGGCCCTCGGCTGTGGTAACAAATCCTGCCTGTCACAGGAGCTCTGATTTGTAGTTATTATCTCTGTCCTCTGATTCCTGTCCATACCTTACCCTCAAATGAAATTATTTGAGCATAGTGTGAGAACATGAAGTCAAAATGAGCAGAGAAGAGAAGAAAGAGATACTATTTGCAGAGCCCTGCTGCATGGAGATAAACTTCACAATATACATTATAGACGTGGCCACAGTTGGTTCATACAGACGCTAGCTGAGGCACAGAAACTGGGGTCTAGAAAGCTTTCATAGAATGTGTACCACCGGCACAACTAGTCAGGACAGGAGTGTGGAGTTCATCGACCTCGAGGCTCCATTTTTAATCACAGACCTCCACGCTCCCAACGGCCTGTTCTTCTTCATATCTGACTTGCTTCTTTCTTCTGTATATTTTCATCTTTCCAATGTGATATCTATTCATCTCCTCTCTGCTCTTCTTAATTTTCATTACCACTAAAGTAAATCAGAGACAGTAACAAAACTAGCATTAAGTCAGAGATGAGTTTCTCACGTGGACTTGACAGTGAATACTCACTGCAGTTTAAACCTCATGCCTTAGGTTGAAGGCCAGCTGTTATCAATGGCAAAGCTGTACTGTCCTTTCTCACTTGGAAACACTATCAGATATGCTCCTCAGCTAGAGTGAAGAGGCAGGAAATCCTGTACACCAAGGGGCCCACATTTATTAATGGAAGGCTTTCTGTATGTTATCTTTGTGTTAATGTCCTAAAATAACCTAAAGCAATGAGCGTGGCTAAGCAATCTATTAGTATGGGGGAGTTGAGTTAAATTACTAGTTATTGACACTGGTGGTATCTATCTTTCCTCAAGCAGGTCTTGTGGGAACCTAATGAGTCCAATAAACGGCTTTGGGGGCTGGAGAGATCGCTCAGTGGTTAAGAGCACTGACTGCTATTCTAGAGGACACAGGTTGAAGTCCTAGTACCCACACGGTAGCCGACAATTATCTATAACTCCAGTTCCAGTGGTTCTGAGGTCCTCTTCTGGCCCCTGTGGTCTTTGCACCACACAGGAGCACTTACATTCAGGCAAAACACTCATACATATAAAATATAAATAAATTTAGAAATAAGAAAGAAAAGGCTTGGGTTCCCATGTACAAGCAAAGCAATTAGGTTTTTAAGATCTTCCTGGCAGGGCAGATCATAGACTTTCAGATGGAAGCAAAAAACATGGTCAATGTGATGGCTCGTTTTAAAGGTAGTGAATTCTGGGGCTGGAGAGATGGCTCAGCAGTTAAGAACATTGACTGTTCTTGCAGAAGCCCTGGATTCAATCCCAGAACCCACATGGCAGCTAACAACTGTCCGTAACTCCAGTTCCAGGGAATCCGACAGCCTCTTCGCACCTCCGAGGGCATTGCACGACATGGGTGCACTTACCTACATGCAGGCATAACACTCATACACATGAAATAAAAATAATAAAAAAATAAAATATCAAAAAAGTAGTGCCAGATGTGGCGGTGCATGCCTTTAATCCCAGCACTTGGGAGGCAGAGGCAGACAGATCTTTGTGAGTTTGAGGCCAGCCTAGTCTACATAGTGAGTTCCAGGACAGCTGGGGCTACAAGGAGACCCTATTTCAAAAAGGCAAAAAAAAGTAGTGAATCCCATGACATTTCATTGTAGAAAACAAGGTAAATATTTAAAAATTTGAAAATTTACACAATTTTCATCTACAAAATCTTTATGTCCCCATAAGAATTACAAATGTACATATTTGCTCAACTTTTCTGGAGTACAGGGCACTGAAACCGATCCTGTGTACATCACTTCTTTTAACACGCTTGTTCAACTATGATTCCTCAGGTTGAAGACCTTCTGAAACTCATCGTGAGACCAGTGTGCTTCTGGAAGGACCGTCTGCACCATGCGGTAACAGCGCTCAGTGGTATGCCGGGAGTCCCTGATGAGCTCCTCTCAAAAGCCAAAGACACAGAGACCAAAAACGAAGAGCTTCTGGAGGTCATCAGATGGGTCATCAACAAGGTGAGGGGCCCTCACAGTCTTCACCTTCTCTCAGTCATAAAAGAGGTGACTTCTGAATAGAACGATACATTTGGAAACACTACACTTTGCAAGAACAGCATTTAGACCTCCAATTTTACATGTAGTCTCCTTGTTGAGGGATGGATATAAAAACAGCTGTTCTTCATAGTAATTTGGACAGTGTGCATGGAGCAAGTAAAATAATTCAAACTGCCTCACTGCACTATCTTTTCGCCATGTCCTATCAGAGCCCATTGGTCTTGCCAAGCACAGGTCTATGGCCATGTAGCAACTTCCTATTCCTCAATTTGCCTAGTTGTGAAGGACATGCTCCATCTGGGGTCAGGGTAATGTTAGAAGCCCAGGAGTCTTCCTTCTAATTTTTAGATGACTAACAGTTTTAGAGAACCCTGTGCTGAACCCTGTAAGTTCCAGGCCTGTGACTGGAAATTGATGTTCTTAACATTCCCTAAATCTAACTGTGCCTTTAGAAAAGATAACACACAAATACTAGTGTAAACAATAAGTGACTGTCACTTTGGCTATTAGGTTTTTCCTGGAATTGAAGAAAAGGAGGAGCATGTGGTCCACGGGGATCTTGAAAGCTTACAGTCAGCGGATGAACAGTCTCGCTTTTTGGCTCTTTATAAAGTGTCCATCTGCTTGGGGATTGACACCCAGGCCGTTGAGCTGTACCTCAAGCTCCTGAAGTGTGTGTTCTTTGGTGGCAGGATCTGCTACTCCTTAGGGTTTTGAGATGGTATTTACGATCCTTCCTTTTGAAGCCACAGTTTAACTTTATACTCTTTAAGGTATGCTTCAGCCTAACGTGACGCGTTAAGAAATAAAAGCAGACACAACTATGTCAAGGTATAAAAATTAAGTTTTCCAGTGCCTTGTGTTCATTCAGTACAAAATTGATAAACAGCATTGAAATTTTTCTACCAGAGATGATTTTTATTGGAAAATAATACACGTAAAAACTTACTTTAGAACCACAGTAAGTTACCACAGATCAAGTTATTAAAAATCAAGGAGTGAGATCGCTTTTTAAGGAACAGCGATGTTACTGAGGACTTGGAAATATTGGGATTACTTGAAAAAGCCAGCAGCTTCTATAAGTCAGCTTTCACAGGGAAATAACAGAAAGCAGAGTTACAACTCTTTGAGCAGAACTGCTTACGGTGCAAACGTGAAACGCTGTGAGAAGTATGTTCTAACTTCTTCAACCTTACCGTTTGAATTCTCATCTCTTTAGCGTAATGTTAGACACGTCAGTATGTTCTCACTCTGTGTCTAGCAAGTTTCCTATGGTCACGTTTCAACTTCATCATACATTCAAATTCTTTAATGAATTACCACGGTCCTCTTATGGGTCCAACCACACAACAGGGAAAGTAGAGATATCAGTTGGTGCAAGGCATCTTCTCTTCTAGCCCATTGGTAGCCGTCCCTTTGACTTTGTCAGAAAGGGAAAGAAGATTAGGAAAATGAATTTTCTCCTACCAACTATTTATGTAGTGGTGTCAAAGACTTATTCCTGACAAGTCCCAACTTGAATTCCCTCTCAGTGTCAGTTCGCATCTCTCACAGGGAGCTCTACTGTTTGCACAAGACACCTACTGAGAAATCCTCAAGCTAAAATACCATTATCAGGAAACAATCTCTGGTTTTATTTTCTGAGCCACTTCACACATCTACCATCTGTATCATCCTTTACAGCCCCTGCCTCAGGTCTCCTTACACAGAAGTCACATTACAGAAAAAAAATGTTCGGGGCTGGAGAGATGACTCGAAGGTTGGACCTCATGCATTCTGCCATGCATGTTAAGTCCTATCCAGTCGAGCATTTGTGCCCAGAAGTCCTTTGCTGTAAATTCATCCACTGGAGTCTAGTCTGCCTATCTAGGTATTGTAAGTAAGGTCTATTCTCCTACTGGAGTCTAGTCTGTCTATCTAGGTATTGTAAGTAAGGTCTATTCTCCTTCACCCAGTAGTGGTCAATCTCCAGTAGTTCCCAGACTAGGGCCCTGCTCCTCTCTGGACCCTTGACTGACTGAGATGGCATGGGTCTGTGCTCAGTGTCACCACTGACACAAGTTCACATGAGAAAGCTTCCAGGGTCCTGGAAGCCTCTGTTTTCCTGTGTTCATGGACCAGTCCTGGCTCCTACAATCTTTCTGCCCCTCTTCTGCAGTGGTCCCTGAGCCCTGGGTGGGTGAGGTTCAGCATAGGAGTCCTGTCCAGGGACACACACTCTGCAGTCTCTTTGTCTCTAAGACTTGGCCAGTTGTGGCCTTCTGTGTGCATCACACTCCGTTGTATAAGGAAGTTTCACTGTGAGAGTTGGAGGATGTACCAGATTTCTCTCCACCCCCACTAGCATTTTGACTAGTGAACTGAATGTAGTTATTCAAAGAAGAAATAAAAACAATCATTAAAAATTTGGAAAAGTATTCAACATCCTTATACCCATCAGGGAGATGAGAATTAAAACACAGCCAAGACTCCTTCACACCTGAGTCAGAATGCTATTTCAAGAAAACATGTGACAATTGCATATAAATACTGAAAAGTGTATACTGAAAAAAAAGTGTACGCTTCTGGTGGGACTATAAGCTGATGCAGCTACTAGAGAAATCAGAATGGAAATTCTTCAGAAACTTAAAATAAAAGCAGCTTCAGATGCAGCTATAGCAGCACTGTATATATATATATATGTATATACATAATATGTGTAATATATATGTATATATAAATTAGCATATCTATTATGTCACAGTCTATTTGTTTCTATATATTTATACATCTATGTTTCTTGTCACACTGTCTACAATATCAAAGATATGGTAGTGGCCTATATACCAATCAACAGATAAATTGAAAAAGATAATGTGTTGTACACAAACACATATACAGAGAATTCATTTAACTATATAGAATATATTATGAAATTCACAGTAAAATAGAGAGAACTGAATACTATTTGTTCAGTGAGATATGCCACACTATGAAGACACATTTCACATTTCTTTTCATGTGGAAAATATAGATTTAAATATATAAGATGTATATAGAATATACACACAGATGACATAAATATAGAAAGAGGAATGTGTGTGTATGTGTGTGTGTGTGTGCATGTGTGTGTGTGTGTGTATCACTAAAACCGATAGTAGGAATATAAAAAGACTATCTGGAGCACATCATACCGTGTCCTCTGTCATATGTAGATAAGGGTTACATAGTACAAATATGTACATGTATCCACATAAAGCTGCACATGAAGGCATATGTAGAATTCTACAAGGATAAGGAGACAGACAGGGCTGGGAATGTAGTGTGGGAGTGAACGACAGCCTGTTGTAATGAAAGCATTCAGAGAACGGGTATGATTATTAAGCAGCAACGGTTACCTCTTCCCTACGAGTTGATACTGGATTTCAGATCTAAGGAGATTTAAAAAAATGTTAACTATCTGTAATTCAGAAAAGAAAGGTTACGTTGCTTATTTCGATCGTTTCCTCCAAAGACTGATGTTGGTGAAGCATGGTACTTGGAAGTCACTCCTGCTTTTAGTTCTTTGTAACACGCTGTTATCATCCGTGAAGTATTTGGCTTCCTAGAATGGTTACTTTGGAAAGAACTTACATGCTGGGCCAAGTCAGGACACAATGGGGAACAGGCCATTTTCATCTGATTCCTCCAGGTGTCTCTCCAGAGTGCTCCCTGTCCCGCATTGCTTACTGCTTGCGAACAGGGCACTAGGCAGGATGTAAAATCTCTACCTCCAAGCCTCATTTCCTTACCAACAAATAGACTAATCTTACTTACATTCATTTCTTCAGGCACAGCTCCCGTGCTCTAGAATACATGATTAGTCTTACATGAAATCCAACACATGAATATTTTCTTTCATTGGAGAAAAGTGAATCACGTATCTGGAACAGAATAATTACCCACCATAGAATATGCTACACCATCTTCATGCTTGCGGTTCGGCATCTAAACATCCACCACTGAGCTGAGATCCAAATGCATTTTGGGGTTTTCATGATTGATTTCAATTCGCCTGTCATTCACCAAAGTATATGATTCTACATAGCAGTAGGAGATGGCCATTTGGGCCTCCTTCTCCAATCAATGAACTTTTGTTCTGAAATTACTGCTTGCCAGATGCATAGGAACATAGCCCCTGGCAAGCAATCAGCGTTTTCCAAGGAACTCTGTCTGGTTTCAGGTCAGCATAATTCTTGCCATATGTTTCTTTGAATGACCTCTTTTTCAGTATTTTATTTTTTAATCACTCATTTCATGTCAGTGTCTCTCGCTGAGATACAGCAATTGTCTCCTACTATCAACGTGTTCTTATGCTGAGCCTCTGGCTAGACAGGAGATATTCTACGTCAAACATGAATTCCACCTTTTACTCATCATTTTGTCACCAGTTACATTTCTGAATTTTTGGGGGGGTTTTCAGGCATGTAGGAATTAAGAACAAGAATACTTGATAATAATTTTGAAAAATCTTTCGCTATCCAACTATCAAAGGACTTAACAACAGTATCTTTCAGATCTACTTTTGGTGAAGAACTTAAATCCCACAAAATCTGAAAGGGTACTAGAGAAGGGGACAGCCAGAGTACGTGGTCTCCTTGGCCCTAGGAATGTACTGTTGAAATTCTTTCACATTCCAATCTATAAATGATGCAGCTCATACTGATGACTGTCTAAACTCTAAGATAGTAATAGGAATTGATGAGGGAATTAAATCACGCAACTTCCCTCCTCAAACATGTTGGTCCACGTCAAACATGAATTCTACCTTTTACCCATCATTTTGTCACCAGTTACATTTCTGAATTTTTGGGGGGGGTTTCAGGCATGTAGGAATTAAGAACAAGAATACTTGATAATAATTTTGAAAAGATGAGGGAATTAAATCACGCAACTTCCCTCCTCAAACATGTTGGTCCAGGACAAAATCAAATCAATCCATTTTCTTTCACCAATTTGTTTTCTAAATTTGGGGGGCAGGGTGGACAGCTGAGCCACCAGACTTATGGACCTAGGTGTTCAGCAACAGGTTTTGCATATAAATTTCATTTACTGCTTCCAGTGGTGGGAGATGGGGAAATCCCCATCTGTTGGGATGTTTTAATCCAGTTCAAAAACACTTAAGTAGTAGTAGTCTATAATTACATATTGATGACTTTGTAAAGAAAGTGGGTTTTTTTATTTTGGAAAGAATATTTCTAAGTGTTTCTTTTAGTACTAGAAAATAGTAGGTGGTTATTCAGTTTCTTGAACTGGTGACCCCCATGACCTTGTAAGATCCAGATGTGGATTGTTTTTCTGATGCTGGTCCTCATTCTAAAGAGGATTAAATTTTTGTAAGTTGTTGGGTATATGTAGGAATACTCACATTTTGCTTGGCAGAACACTCACTTTCTGTGCTGTTCTGGGTACCCCCCTACTTTTCCATCCCTTTAGCAAGTGAAGACTGCTTAGAAAATGAAGGACTGCTGTATATGATCTCAGAGTTAAGTATCGGCTCCCAGTTGATCTGTGCCTGGAAAACAAACTGACTTTGTGAGTATAAACATGGTAATTGCATGAGAGGTAGGGAAAGGCTGTGTGGCTTCTCTTCAGAATCTCTCCTCTTCTTCCTGGCTCAGTCACAGAAACAGAGGAGGTTTCGGTGGGTCTGAATGACAGTGACTGGAGTACAAACTGGGCTTCAAAAGTGCTACATCAACTAAGATGGGATGAATGAGGGAAACTCAAGAAAGAGCGTCCAGATATAATTTGGGGGTTATTTGGGGTGTCTTCAGAGCAGATTTTCTAGCAAAAATTGGACAGAGGCTGGGCATGGTGGTGTATGCCTTTAATCCCAGCACTCGGGAGGCAGAGGCAGGCAGATCTCTGTGGTTCAAGGCCAGCTTGGTCTACATAGTGAGTTCCAGGCCAGTTGGGTCTACAGCTGTAGACCAAAAAAAAAAAAATTGG